GACTATCCACTCAGTATCTTGTCTCTCCAAATAGATTTTACTTTCCTTTCCATTTTCTACTTTGTTTCTGTAAACCTGTCATTTAAAAGCCATCAGAGTTTTTAAACTGGTTTTTATTCTGGAAAATGACAAGGGCTCATTTAATTGACCCCTGTCTCTGCCCTTGTATGTTTTGTCTAGAATTGTATTGCTATGTTTGTTGGTTGGACAAATATGGTATCATTCTGTGTTCTCTAATGTCTTATTTCAAATTGTTCTTATTTCTCAGAATCCTTAGCCTATGTTAAGTATATCATAGGTACCCAGGAGATACTTGTCAATTTTTATTGTTTTTAATTTTATTTATGACAATCTTATATATCCCAAGCTGGCCTTAAATATCTAATCCTCCTGCTTCTGCTTCCTAAGTGCTAGAATTACAGGCACATGTCATCACACCTGTCTTTTAATGTCCAAATTTTAAAAACTGGGAATTGGTCAGACATGGTGATGTGTGCCTTTAATCCAAGCACTCAGGAGGCAGAGGCAGGTGGATGTCTGAGTCCAAGTCAGCCTATCTACAAAGTAAGTCCCAGGATGACCAAGGCTATACAGAAACCCTGTCTCAAAAAGCAAAAATATCGTTTGGTTTTCTCACTTTTTGTGCAGTTTTTTTTAAAGATTTATTTATTTATTACATATACAGTGTTCTGCCTACATGCCAGAAGAGGGCACCAGATTGAATTGTAGATGGTTATGAACCATCATGTGGTTGCTGGGAATTGAACTCAGGACACCTGGAAGAGCAGTCAGTGCTCTTAACCTCTGAGCCATCTCTCCAGCCCCTTGTGCAGTGTTTTTTGTTTTTAATTTTTTTACAGATATGTATGAAGTTAATATACAGCCAATGCAAATGCAGATATTTCTTTCTCTAACCTGACCTACTAATGATTGGTCTTCCTAACTCTTTTTAAAATTTCTCATTAAAGTATGAGTTATAGTACATGTATACTATATATATTTAAATGCTCTATGATAAAAACAATTTAAGGGGGTCCTGTAAGTTGTGTTTGTATTCTGACAAGGGATTAAGAGAGTATGTACTTCTGAAGGAGCCTAAATCTGGGCATTCTCCCAGTGTTTCAATCACAACAGATAATGTAGGAGAAAACTGTGTACACTGAATATTGTTTGTTATTAAGGCCAGAATTTTAGCATAGTAAGTATGGCAGAAGAGAACCCCCAGACTAAGAATCAGCCGTATGGGTTTAAATTGTAACTGCTTTGAAATAGGTCTCATGTGGCTGAGGCTGCCCTTGAACTCTTGATCCTCCCACCTTACAGATATGTACCACCACACCCACTCTACCTCTGCTTCTAATTTAGCTTTGTTATTTTCCCTAAGGGGTTTCTCCAAAATGCTGGGTCATGGTTGGCCTTTACTTAACCTTTGCCCACTCATAAGCAAGCCCTCTCCATTCTTGTTAAAGCATATGCCAATTGATTTTTAGTCAGCTGTCTGTTCATGAGTACTCTTTAGCACACCCACGCCTGTCTGCTCCAAAAGCCCATTGTTTTTCAAAACCTGTTTATCCTACTTTTACTTGTTATTGCTGTTATGTAATTAAATTAAATGTTATATTCGACAAAGAAATCAGAACATATTTTTTTTTTTTTGAGCCAAGGTTTCTCTGTAGCTTTGGAGTATGTCCTGGTACTCCAGCTGTAGACCAGGATGGCTTCGAACTCACAGAGATCCACCTGCCTCTGCCTCCCAAATGCTGGGATTAAAGGCGTGCACCACCACTGCCCAGCTGTACTTCAGTACTTTTTACAAAACTGAATAATTAAAAAACAAAACAAAACTATTTGTTGCATTAGATACTGTTGGCAGAAGTTTGTGTCCCACCAGTAGCTCCTAAATAAGTACACTGAGGCACATATTAATTGTAAATTATATACCTCAGACTTATTACTAACTAGTTTTTACATCTTAAGTCGATTCATATTCCTTATTTACACTGTGCCATGTGGTGGTACCTTTATTAGCATGGCACATTCATCTCCTGTTCCCTCTGCATTTGTCTGGCAACTCCAGACTCCGCCCTTCTTGCTCCCAGCATCCTCCTAGTTCAGCTCTCTTGCCTAACCTATTAGCCAGTCAGCTTCTTTTATTAAATCATCACATCGGCATATATTCTGTAGTGATTTATTAAAGCTTGACTGAGGATTCAGAAAAGCAAAGTTAGTCATAAATGGTAGAAGCCAGGCACTCACCTTTAATCCCTGCAGCCTGAAGCTAGGAGGTGATGGTATATGCCTTTAATCCCAGGACACAGAATTAAGAGGTAGATATCTGTGCATCCAAGGCCACCCAGATCTACACAAGAGTGAATTAGTCTGAAAGAATTATAGCTCACACCTTTAATCCTAACATTAGGGAAGTATTTAAGACTGAGGAGAGACAGCAGTTTGAGAGTTGGTGAAGAGCTCGTTACATGGATCAACCCTTTCAGCCTGAGCTAGAGGTGAGAGCTAGTGGCTGGCCACTTTTGCTTCCCTGATCTTCAACTTGAACCCCAATATCTGTCACTGGGTCTTTTTTATTAATTTGTATTACAATATTCACACATTATCAAGGAATATTCCACAGCAAGATATAATTAAGATAAAGAAAAAAATGGAAAGGTTTTTAAAATAAATCTAAGGGTGGTGACACACGCCTTTAATCACAGCACTCGGGAGGCAGAGGCAGGCGGATCTCTGTGAGTTCTAGGCCAGCCTGGTCTACAGAGCGAGTGCCAGGATAGGCTCCAAAGCTACACAGAGAAACCCTGTCTCAAGAAAAAAAGAAAAAGAAAATGACAGTCACCCTATTGCAGTACTTTTGTATTGTGTGCATTCTCTTTGCTGAGATGGATGTAAAACACTTTTTATAGCTTATATTAAAATTAGTTCTTACTGTGCTTTCTTTACAGAACATTCAGAAGATTCTTGGCCTTGCCCCTTCTCGAGCTGCCACCAAACAAGCTGGTGGATTTCTTGGTCCCCCACCTCCTTCTGGCAAGTTTTCTTGAAGGAAAGAAAAATTCTTTATTTCTTGCCGTACTTTCTGGACATTCACATCAGACTGGCAAGGCACCTGGCCACATTCTGGTTTTGAGTAATTTCTCAGCTTTTTGGATATTATCAAAATAAGAATGGCACTTAACTACTGGTATAGTGCTTTTGGTCATGGATGACTTCTTTAATTGGACTCATTAGTTAAATTTGGGTGATTTTTATGTAACCACAAATATCTTCTTTCTTTCACTTAAGTATTCCTTGACTAATGATCAAGCCTGTGTATGTGCCATGTACCATAGAAGCAAACTGTCCATAAACATTAGGCAACTAGGAAAAAAAAAGTTTGTGTAACAACTTAATTGGAAGTATTTGTTAATTTTTAAAAAGCCAAATATGTCACTTATGGTTGATAACAAGCCAAATTTTTAGCTGTTCCATTTAGAGAGATATTTGATTTTTTTGCATATTAAAATATTTTCTGTAACCTGAAGATAAGGGTAAGCATTGACCCAAAAGAGCTAAAATAAAATTTTGTCATGTGTTCTTTTACTAACCTTGTCTCATATGTTCAAAATATAGAATTGTCCTAGTATGCAATTTTAAAGTGTTCATGTTTGCTTTCTGATGCTTTGAGTAAAGACTGATCAGAAGCAACTTAGGGGAGCAACTTATTTCAGCTTACATTTCCAGGTCACAGTTCATCACTGAGGGAAGTAAATGTTTGAACTCGAGCAGGAACCAAAGCAGAAGCCATGGAGAAATGCTGCTTACCAGCTCATTCTCTAGCTTGCCTCAGCTAGTTTTCTTATACAGTCCAGGTCCCCCTAGAAAAGACTCCACACACAATAGAGGGTTGGACTCCTATGTCACTCATCAATCAACACAGTCTCTTCCAGACATGACTATAGGCCAGTCTGATCTAGGCAATTTCTTAATTGAAGTTACTTCTTGTCAGGTGATTCTGGGTTATGTAAAATTGACAATACCAGCACAAAAAGTAAGAGTAGAAAGGAAAGAGAAAATGCCATGATTAGATAGATATTCTGAACTTATCTAGTACATTTCTGCTTGTCTTGAAAGCAACAACTTCATGGAAGAGGGCTGGTTTCTCTTTATTAGAGATTGTACTTGTAGTTTGATCTCAGAGCACTAGTGGTGCTCATGGATACTGCTCTCTGTTTCGAGACTTCTCTGTGAACATATTTGCTGTTTTAAATCAGACTACATCATGAACTCATACTGTCTGAGCTATAGCATCTACTTCTCTGCTTTGTATTTTCTTTATCAGATCACATTTTGGATTACATTTTTTAGTGCAGGAGTGCTAGTGTAAAACCTCGGCATCAAAGTGCCAGGCACCGGACTGAATCCTCTGCCCAAGGACGGGGCCAGACCACTGGATGCAAATGCAAGAGGCGATTTATTGGGTACACAGGCGCCTGCGGATGCTACTGCAACTCGGGTGCAGAACATACCGGGCTTGTAGGGAGTACACTATTTATGGAGTTTTAATGATTACATAAGTATCAGCATAGCAACAGGTATTTTATTGGCTACTGAAGCATGGGCTGAGATCATCTGGGGGGGCAGGGGTAGTTGCCAAGGACTAGATTTCCTACATGAAAGACCCCGGCATGCTTCAACAATTAGGATCCGGGTTCTATGATTGCTACAGTGATCAGACACAATTGGGGGCCAGGGTAGTTGCCAAGGACTAGGTTTTCTAGTATTGTCATATGAAAGTTCCCAGCACGCTTCAGCAATTAGTATCCGGGTCTCATGATTGCTATAGTGATTAGAGACATCCTGTTTTGAGGGTGAGACACCTGTCTGGGTTTTTCCATTTAGGCAATGGCCTGGCCTTGCTTTTCTTTTCCTAGGGGTTCCTGGGTAGGGGTCTTTCATTACCCCCTTGTTCTTGTGCATAGGTAGAATCTTTTACCTATTGTCCAGCCCTCTTTACTTAAGGTTTACTTATGGTTGTGTCTGTTTGAGGGCATGGTATTGTTGAGTTAAGACTAAGGCTTGAATTATTGTTAATCTATATTTTATAAATTGAACTAGTTTGTTGAGAATGCAGGGCCCAAAGGTTAACACAAATATGAAAATAATTAGGGGGCCCATAAGAGTAGAGACCAATGTAGCGAACCAGGGGGATTTGTTAAACCAACCCTCATACCAGTATTGTTGAGATTTAGAATTTTTTTGACGGACAGTCAGCCTCTCCTTGAGTTTATCCAAAGTTTCAGTTACTACCCCAGTTTTGTCTGTGTAGAAACAACATTTTTCTTTGAGGGCGGCACATAAGCCTCCTTGTCTAAGAAATAGGAGGTCTAGTCCTCTCCTATTCTGTAGGACCAATTCAGATAATGAAATCAAAGAGTCCTTGAGGGCTCTAACTGATTTTTTTAAGGCCTGTAGATCCTCATTCATGGCTGCCTGGAGCTGTATATTTTGATTGCTCCGAAGTAAGGCAGTGGTCCCGGTCCCTATACCAGCCGCTATCCCCCCCACTCCCAGGAGAAGAGCTAATGTTACTGAAACAGGTTCCCTTCTGAATCGATAACGATTTTCAAAGTATCCTAGCACAGTCTCTGAGGAGTGGTACGTAATGTGGGGCCATAGCTGGACAAGTATACAATAATCAGCTGTGATGTTAAGAACCAATACTGAGACGCAAGGAGTTAGTCCTGTATTGTAGGCCCAATAAGTCCCGTTAGGGCCGGTCAGGTATGAGTTGCTGGGAGTTACTGAGACTGTACGGTTACATAGTTTTTGAGACGATCTGGGAACATTTTTAAGACATAGTCCTTGCCCAGTCACCTGGGGCAGAGTTAGTTTATGATTAGGTGTTTCGCTGCATCGGGAAGGGGGAGATGTGTAGCTGATAAGGTCCGAGTCCAATGCCAAGCCCTCATAATAAGGGGGAGCCGCTGTCAAGCAGAGCCAACAATCCTCCGCCTTATCAGGATGGGTTTCGTTTAACGCTTGGTGGGCTCCTCTGATTAAGTTTAATAGTCTACTGGCAGAACTGAACTTTAGTCTAGGGGGTAGAGTGGCATTGCTATGCCCGGTAGCATGGGTAGGTAGGGTGGTGACAGATGGCAAGGGGTTTGGCTTGGGTCTAGGGAGGTTCTGGGATGGCCTATCCGGTTGGTCGAGTAGCACAGAGTTTGGCCCAATAGAGGCCATAGCTGTGGGGGAAATGGTTCTGGAGATTAGGAAGGTGGCTGCGGGGTCCATTCCAGTACGATACAGCCGTAGCCCCCAGGCCTTGGGGGCATCCCATGCTGACCGTTTAGCAGCCTCAGTAAAAGTGATAATTAGGGGGTTGTATCTTTCTCCAGGGGTGTTGCCCTGGAGTTTGGAACTTGAATCATAGCATGGTCTACAATCCTGCCCCCCACAAGTCCAGGGGCCATCTCCATTATACCCTGGGATAGTTCCTCGCTGGAGGGTGATTAAGTCCCAGGAAGAAGTGGGTTTCCAATAGGTGGTCCCAGTGGTCTCACATCCCCATTTAGCACAATACCCATCTCCCGGTTCACCACCTCTATGTTGGAGTTCTTTATCACGGTTATGTCCTGGGCAAACATATATGTCAAGTTTGCGTGTGGATATGTGCTGGCCCGTGTGTTGACAGCCATAGCCAGGGAAGAGTGCTTGTTCTGAGTGATCCCATCGCTTACCCACTAGGTCGCAAAGATCTACATGTAAAGGGGGAAAGGTTGCATTTATAACACCCCGCATGGTAGTGGAGTTAGCGACTGCCCCGGTGTCCTGATTGATAATCTTTCAAGTTATTTTATATATGGCATGGGGGCTCTCTAGTGTATCATCAGCTAGCAGTAATAAAATCAAGCATATTATTGGCGTATTAATCTTATCTTTAAAGGGTTTTGAGAGCGTTGGAGCCTCCATGACTCTGGGTTTTTTTGGGCTGGCGTATCGGTGCAGTGCTCTGGTCTGGCGGCCTTGACGTGTGAGGCGTGGATCTAGGCAGCGATGTCTACCTTTAAAGCAGTGGGGGTAGTCAGAAGTACAGTATAGGGTCCTTTCCAGCGAGGTTCTAGGTTCTTGATCTGGTGTCTCTGGACCCAGACGGTGTCACCGATTTTAAAGGGATGAGGTACGGAGAGTGATTTTATCCCTTTCTGGTAGGCCGCTGCTATTGGCTTCCAGACCTCCTGTTGCACCAACTGCAGGGCCTGTAGATGGGCCTGCATAGAAGAGGAAGTGGCAAAATCAGAAATATCAGTATCAAAGAAGGTGATGGCAGGGGGTGGAGCCCCATATAAAATTTTAAATGGGGTCAAACCATATGGGCCAGGTGTGTTTCTGGCCCGGTATAAGGCTAGAGGCAGGAGTTGTACCCAGTCTTTAGAGCCAGTTTTAAGTGATAATTTGGTTAAAACTTTTTTAATTGTTTTATTTATTTTTTTTACCTGTCCTGAACTTTGGGGTCTGTAAGCACAATGTAATTTCCAATCAATTTTCAAGAGCTTAGCCACCAACTGACTCACCTGGGAGACAAAGGCAGGCCCGTTATCCGACCCTAATACCTGTGGCATCCCGTATCTGGGGAAGATTTCTTTTAGAAGCTTCTTGGTGACCATTTTCGCGGTTTTGTGTTTGGTGGGGAAGGCCTCCACCCATCCGGAGAAAGTATCTACAAAGACTAGTAGGTATCTGTAACCATACATCCCGGGCTTGATTTCCGTAAAATCTACCTCCCAATGATTTCCAGGGCGATGACCTCGGAGGCGCTTTCCTTGACCAATTTTGGTATTCCCTGAATTGACCTGCGCACAAACCCTACAATTTTCAGTTACTTGTTGCAGCAGCATGTCTTTCTGTGGCAGGTGCACACTCATGGTTCCCCCTCTAATAGGGTTTTTATCTTTTGCTTGCTCAAATGGGTTAACTTATGAAGGCGCTCAATTAACTCTTTAGCTGCCTTTATGGGTATTACAGTCTTTTCTTGGTGGGTCCAGTAATTGTGAACTGAGTCATAGTCAGCTCCTAATCTCTGGACGAGGTCCAGGTCTTCGTCCGTATACTCCCAGACAGGGATTGATTTGCCAGTTGGCACGGCGACAGTTAACAGTTGAGGTCCCAGCGCTGCCTGCTTAGCTGTCTCATCGGCTCTGTGATTTCCTATGGCCTCAGGGCTGTCCCCTTTTTGATGCCCTGGACAGTGTATTATGCTTAATTTCTTTGGGAGAAATAATGTTTTTAAAAGGGCTAAAATTTTATTTTTATTCTTGATCTCTTTGTCTTTTGAAGTTAAAAGTCCTCTCTGAAAGACCCCGGCCCAGCACAGGTGGCTGAGGCCTATGGAAAATTCCTTTCCCCACAGCTCGGCCGAATAGTCATTTTTTTGATCAGAAAGAAGCTCAGCTCAAGGTCTTTACAGCTGAATAGTCACTACTATCTCTGTCCAGGCAGGACACAGGTGTCTGCTATCTGCATAGCGTCCGCATAGCCAGCCCAGCAAGATTGGGCAGGCACAGAGACCTATTGTTCCTTAGATAGGGCCAAGGCCGAGACTTGAGTTCTGAGAGAAACCTCAATAGCCCTCATTCTGTGAGCCCCGGCCTCATTGTCCAATCAGGGTCCTGTAACTAGGCTTCTTGCTTCTGTACTCCGCTTTTTGCTATAAAAGGACCCCTGAGTCCCCAGCTCGGGGCGCTCAGCCCCCCAAGACTGAGACGCCCGGGTACCCGTGTGTAAATAAAGCCTCTTGCTGTTGCATCCAAGCTCGTGGTCTCGCTGCTCCTTGGGTTCGGGTCTCCCTCCCGTGAAAGTCCCCCGCTTGGGGTCTTTCATTTGGTGCATTGGCCTGGAATTGAGACCCCGCCCAGGGACCACCGACCCACTTCTGGGAGGTAAGAATTGTCCGGACTAATTTTCTGTTGTTCTGTTGTCTGCTGTCTGTCTATGCCTGTTATTTTCTTGCGCCTGCGTTTGTAGTATACAGCTGTATGCATTTGTAAGCTCCAGGAGACGTCCTGGTAGCGTTTGGAGTACTCTTTTGTTTGGGGGCCCCGTTTGTATTTGGAGTACTCATTTGTAGGGGTGGATGTCAATCTGCCCCATTTGTATTTGGAGTACTCATTTGTAGGGGTGGATGTCAATCTGCCCCGTTTGTATTTGGAGTACTCATTTGTAGGGGTGGATGTCAATCTGCCCCGTTTGTATTTGGAGTTCTTAAGGAACCGTTTGTTTGGGATAGATGCCTAGGAATCTGCCCCGTCTGTTTGGGGAACCTCCACTGACAGAGGGATTTTCTATCCTGGTAGGGACTAGGGCGGGGAGCCCCCGTCTTGGAGCCCAACTGAAGTTTTGCTTTCGACTTTACGTCGAAGCCGCGCAGCGAAAATCTGTTCGTTTTTGTTACTTGTTTGTTTGTTCGTCTTAGTCATCACTCTCGAGAAGATGGGCCAGACAGTTACCACTCCGCTCAGTTTGACCCTTTCACATTGGCCACAGGTTCAGGAGTATGCTCGTAACCGGACTGTTGATGTGCGCAAGAAGGAATGGATCACCTTTTGCTCTTCCGAGTGGCCAGCTTTAAATGTTGGCTGGCCCCGGGATGGCACCTTTAACTCTCAAATTATCTTCCAGGTGAAAGAGAAAGTGATGGATCCTGGGCCCCACGGCCGCCCGGACCAAGTGCCCTACATAGTCACCTGGGAAGCGTTAGTTCATAACCCTCCTGCCTGGGTGCGTCCCTTTGTGCACCCCGGAGGGTCCCCCTCTCCCTCTTCCCTAACCCCCGCCAATTCCAACCCATCCGCACCCCCCCTTCCGCCCCCTTTGACCCCCTCCCCGTATCCTCAGTCCTCCCATTCTGGCCTGTACCCCACCGTAACTAAGCAGAAAGAGAAAAAAAGAGACCCCCAAAGTCCTCCCTCCAGAAGACGGTCTCCTGTTGGATCTACTGACAGAGGAACCCCCACCGTACCAGGCTCCTCCGGCAGGCCCAACCTTCGCCTCCCACTGACCCGGAGCCCTCACTTATGGCCTCTAGACTGCGAGGCCGCAGGGAGCAGCCCGCTCCGGATTCCACTGCCCTGCCCCTCCGGACGGGCCATGATGGCCAATTACAGTATTGGCCGTTTTCTGCCTCTGATCTTTATAACTGGAAAAATAATAACCCCTCCTTTTCAGCAGATCCTGTGAGACTGACTGATTTATTGGAGTCGGTACTTACTACCCACCAGCCCACCTGGGACGATTGCCAACAGCTTTTACAGGTTCTCCTCACTTCGGAGGAAAAACAACGGGTCCTTCTTGAAGCCCGGAAGAATGTTCCTGGGGCAAATGGACAACCTACGCAGCTCCCAAATGAAATTGATGCTGCTTTTCCCCTCGACCGCCCAGATTGGGACTTCACCACTGAGGCAGGTAGGACCCATCTGCGTCTTTATCGCCAGTTGCTTGTAGCGGGTCTCCGAGGGGCAGGGAAACGTCCTACCAATTTGGCCCAGGTAAGACAGATTGTTCAGAAGGCAGAGGAATCCCCAGCTGCATTTTTAGAGAGGCTTAAGGAAGCTTACAGAATGTATACTCCATATGACCCTGAGGACCCAGGGCAAGCTACTAGCCTGACCATGTCCTTCATTTGGCAGTCGGCCGCTGACATTAGAAACAAATTGCAGCGGCTAGAGAATTTACAGGGGTATACACTACCAGATGTATTAAAAGAGGCGGAGCGCATCTTTAATAAGAGAGAAACACAGGAGGAAAGGGAAGAGAGATGGAGAAAAGAGGACCAAGAAAGGGCAGAACGTCAGAGACAGGAAATGGAAGAGAGGGACGAGAAGCGTAATAGAGAGATGACTAAACTGTTGGCCACAGTAGTCGCAGAGCAGAGACAGGATAGGCAGAGAAAGGGACAAAGGGGGCCTCGCCTAGAGAGAGACCAGTGTGCATATTGCAAGGAGAGAGGACACTGGGCTAGAGAATGCCCCAAGAACAAGAAACAAAGAAGGACATTTCAAAGGCCAAAACCCCGTTCTCAGACCTCGGACCTCCTGAGCCTCGAAGATTAGGGAGGTCAGGGCCAGGAGCCCCCCCCTGAGCCCCGGATAACCATACCAGTAGGGGGGCGCCCAGTCACCTTCCTGGTTGACACGGGGGCTCAACACTCTGTTCTAAATCGGTCACCCGGCCCCCTGAGCCGACGAACTGCCTGGGTACAAGGAGCTACCGGTGGGAAGCAATATCGATGGACCACGGACCGCCAGCTCCACCTAGCGACCGGTAAGGTGATGCACTCCTTTTTACATGTTCCTGACTGTCCATACCCCCTCCTGGGTCGAGACCTCCTAACGAAGTTAAAGGCTCAAGTGCATTTCGAGAAAGCCAACATAAGAGTCACGGGGCCAGAAGGGGCCCCACTCACGGTGCTGACCATAGCCTTAGAAGAGGAATATAGAATACATGAGCCCAAGGATGACTCTTTTAAGGTCGAGGACCGCTGGTTGACTGACTTTCCCCAGTCCTGGGCAGAGACTGGAGGAATGGGACTGGCCCTCCAGCAGGCTCCCATCATAGTCCATTTAAAGGCATCTGCTCTCCCGGCCTCAATTAAACAATATCCCATGTCCCGGGAGGCCCGCGATGGGATCAAACCTCACATTAGGAGGCTACTGGACCAGGGCATTCTAACCCCCTGCCGGTCCCCCTGGAACACTCCCCTGTTGCCAGTCAAGAAGCCTGGAACCAATGACTATAGGCCGGTCCAGGACCTCCGGGAAGTCAATAAGCGGGTTGAGGACATACACCCCACGGTCCCCAATCCCTATAACCTCCTGAGTGGACTGCCACCTGACTATGTTTGGTACTCAGTCCTGGATTTAAAGGATGCCTTCTTCTGCCTGCGGTTACACAAAGACAGTCAGCCACTATTTGCCTTTGAATGGCAGGATGCAGACCTGGGAATCTCGGGACAACTTACATGGACTAGGTTGCCCCAAGGGTCCAAAAATAGCCCCACCCTCTTTGATGAGGCCTTGCATCAGGATTTGGCCGGATTTAGAGTCCTCAACCCTGAGGTCATCCTCTTACAATATGTGGATGACATCCTGATAGCCACCAAGACAGAGGAGGAATGCCTTAGGGGGACAGAAGCTCTCTTAAAGACTTTAGGAGACTTGGGGTACAGGGCCTCTGCCAAGAAGGCCCAAATCTGCCAGACCCAGGTCACCTACTTGGGGTACAAAATCCAGGATGGAAAACGTTGGCTAACAGAAGCCCGCAAACAGGCCATACTTGACATCCCTCCTCCCAAGACCCCCCGAAAACTGCGGGAATTCTTGGGAACAGCAGGTTTCTGTAGACTGTGGATCCCCGGGTTTGCGGAGATGGCAGCACCCCTGTACCCCCTCACCAAGACGGGGGCTGCTTTTGACTGGGGGGGAGAGCCAGGAAAAAGCCTTCATGGACATCAAGAAGGCTCTGCTCTGCTCCCCAGCTCTGGGGTTACCTGACCTGACTAAACCCTTTGACTTATTCGTGGCTGAGCAAGAAGGTTATGCGAAGGGGGTCCTAACTCAAAAACTTGGGCCCTGGAGACGACCAGTTGCCTACCTATCTAAGAGATTAGACCCCGTAGCGTCAGGATGGCCCCCATGTCTCCGCATGATCGCCGCCACCACAGTTCTCATAAAGGACTCTCACAAATTGACTTTGGGGCAGCCTTTGACTATCTATGCCCCCCCATGCTATGGAGGCAGTCATCAGACAGCCACCGGGCCGCTGGCTCACCAATGCCAGGATGACTCATTACCAGACTCTGTTGCTGGACAAGGACCGAATTCACTTCGGGGCTCCGGTGACCCTGAACCCCGCCTCGCTGCTTCCCCTCCCCGGGGAAGCAGAGACTCATGACTGCTTGCAGGTCCTGGCCGAGGTCCATGGGACGAGAGCTGACCTCACGGATCAACCCCTTCCCAACCCTGACCTTGTCTGGTTCACGGACGGAAGCAGCTTTGTACATCAAGGGGAGCGGAAGGCCGGTGCTGCAGTGACAACTGAGTCAGAAACAATTTGGGCCGAGGCCCTGCCGCCAGGAACATCGGCTCAACGAGCAGAACTGATTGCCTTGACACAGGCCCTGAGACTGGCAGAAGGTAAGAAACTCACTGTCTATACAGACAGCCGCTATGCTTTTGCCACCGCTCACATCCATGGTGAAATTTATAGGCGAAGGGGGCTATTGACCTCAGAGGGCAGAGACATTAAAAACAAAAAGGAAATCCTGGCCCTCTTAGAGGCTCTGCACTTGCCAACCGCCCTCAGTATTATACATTGCCCAGGGCATCAGAAAGGTGACAGTCCAGTCGCCCGGGGAAACCGGAGGGCAGACCTGGCCGCCCGGGAGGCTGCCCTGGCTTTGGAAAGCAGCAGTCACCTCCTCCAGGCAGCTGTAGTCCCTGTAACTAATGAGGCTTCCGAGAAGACCTCCCCGTCATGGGACTATGAGATAAAAGACATCAAAGCCATGAAAAGACTGGGGGCGACCCGAGTACGTGATGGTCTCTGGACCTATCAAGGAAAAACTGTCCTTCCCCGCCTAATGACTAGATATCTGGTTAACAGCCTACACAAACTCACTCATTTGAGCTCCAGGAAAATGAGAGAACTGTTAGCCCGGGAAGAAAATACTCGCCACCTGTTGGGAATAGAAGAAATAATAAAACAAGTGACTGAACAATGTGACGCCTGCGCCCGCGTCAATATGACCAGGCTAAAGCTACCCATGGGGACTCGAGCTCGTGGGCACCGGCCTGGGGTGCATTGGGAAATAGATTTCACAGAAATTAAACCAGGAAAATATGGATACAAGTACCTCCTGGTTTTTGTTGACACCTTCTCGGGATGGACTGAAGCCTACCCCACCAAGCACGAGACAGCAAAGGTGGTCACCAAGAAACTTCTTGAAGAAATCTTCCCCCGTTATGGAATGCCACAGGTATTGGGGACAGACAACGGGCCTGCCTTTGTTTCTCAGGTAAGTCAGTCTGTGGCCACCTTGTTGGGGATTGATTGGAAATTACATTGTGCTTATCGACCCCAAAGTTCAGGGCAGGTAGAGCGTATGAATAGAACCATTAAGGAGACTATAACTAAATTATCGCTGGCAGCTGGCACTAAAGACTGGGTCCTCTTGCTCCCCCTTGCCCTCTATCGTGCCCGGAATACACCGGGCCCCCATGGCCTCACCCCTTTTGAAATTCTATATGGAACCACCATTCCCTTTGTTCAGTTCTTTGACCAAGATATTTCTGACTATGCCAATTCCTCCTCTCTTCAAGCTCACCTGCAGGCACTCCAGCTGGTTCAGCAGGAAGTCTGGAAGCCTCTGGCCCAAGCCTACCGAGACCAGAGGAGACACCCTATCGTCCCTCACTCCTACCACGTGGGAGACAGCGTTTGGGTCCGGCGCCACCAGGCTAAGAACCTTGAACCCCGCTGGAAGGGACCATACACGGTCCTGTTGACCACCCCTACTGCTCTCAAGGTGGACGGGATTGCTGCTTGGATACACGCCTCGCACGTAAAAGCTGCCTTCCCTGAGGATCCGGACTCAGGATGGAAAGCTCAACGCACTCAAAATCCTTTAAAAATAAAACTTACCCGCTCCTCTCCCTCCTGCTAATAGCCCTCCTCATAAAATCAGACACTGGTGTGGCCTCCAGTCCCCATACCATTTATAAATTAACCTGGGAGGTTCTCTCCCAGATGGGGGAGGTCATTTATGCTGTCACGGAACCACATGCACTTGGGACATGGTGGCCTACTCTATGGCCTGAATTTTGTGATTTAGTAGCAGGGTTGGACACTTGGGACATTCCCCATTGCCACCCAAAGGCATGCGCCAGTGGTTCCCACCTTTACAGACGTCGACGTACATTCATATTCATGGACTCTAGAGAAACCACCCCCGGGTGTGTTAGTCGCAGAGCCAGAGAGCAGCTACATTCACAGGACTTCTATGTCTGCCCCCAAGATGGACGTACCTGGCAACAGGCCCGGAAATGTGGGGGACATGATTCCTTTTTCTGTGCAGCTTGGGGGTGCGAGACTACAGGGGATGCGTATTGGAGGCCATCCTCATCCTGGGATAAAATACAAGTACGCAGAGGCTGGGACAAAAGACAATCTGGAATGATAGGTATGCCCCTTGCCATTTCCTTCACTGCGCAGGGAAAGCAAGCCCCGGACTGGCAGACTGGGTATACCTGGGGTTTGCGTTGGTATCTATACGGGCCAGACAGGGGAGTAATCTTTACAATCAGATGTAAGGTGGCTCCTGTCAATCCACAGGCCATAGGCCCTAACCAGGTCCTTGCTGATCAAAAGCAGCCTAGCCTACTCATGCCCAAGGCTGATACCAGGCCCCTGACCCTGCCTAAAACCACAGCCGCTCCCGCGCCTACAGAAAGCACTCCCAAACCCCCCTCCTCGGGTCCCCCCCTTGAAGGCACGGGAGATAGAATATTAGCCCTGATCAAAGGGACATATGCCACTCTGAATTTAACTCGCCCAGATAAGACTAAGGAATGCTGGCTTTGTCTGACTCCGCAACCTCCCTATTATGAAGGCTTAGCGGTTGTGGGCGAATATACAAATCAGGCCACAGCCGTGGCTCTTTGTGGGACAGCCATGCAACATAAATTGACCATCTCAGAAGTGTCTGGAAAGGGGCTATGTATAGGTAACGTCCCCGCCACGCATCAAGGACTATGCAATGCCACTGAGCCTTTGCCCCAAAGTGGCCGCTACTTGATAGCCCCCAATGGGACATATTGGGCATGCAACACTGGATTAACCCCTTGTGTCTCCACCACGGTACTAGATGCCACCGTTGACTATTGTGTTCTGATTGAATTATGGCCTAAGGTAATTTACCACCCCTCTGACTATGACTTGATAAGAACTGGCCGCAGTGAGAGGGAACCTATCTCCATCACTACTGCCATCCTACTAGGAGGATTAACCATGGGAGGCATAGCAGCAGGAATAGGAACCGGTACTGCCGCACTGCAGGAAACTAAACAGTTCCAACTCCTACAACAAGTAATGCGTGCAGATATTCGGTCTTTAGAGGAATCTGTCGCTGCCCTGGAGAAGTCTCTGTCCTCCCTGGCAGAAGTAGCCCTCCAAAACAGAAGGGGACTAGACCTCTTATTTTTACAGCAGGGGGGAATTTGTGCGGCCCTTAAAGAAGAATGCTGCTTTTACGCAGACCATACCGGAGTGGTAAGAGATAACCTGGCTAAAATAAAAGAAAGACGCCAAAAGTACCACCAATTAATTGAGTCCCAACAGGGATGGTTTCAGAACTGGTATAACAGGTCCCCTTGGTATTCAACTCTCATATCCACCATTATGGGACCCCTGATCATTATATTGCTGATTCTGATGTTTGGGCCATGCATCTTAAACAGATTAATCCAGTTTATAAAGGAAAGGTTATCAATTGTACAATCACTGGTTTTGACTCAACAATACCAGCAGCTAAAGCAAAGGGATTTCGAGATGGCAGAAACCTCTGAATGAAAGATTTCATTCAGTTACAAGAGCAATGGGGGAATGAAAGACCCCGGCCCAGCACAGGTGGCTGAGGCCTATGGAAAATTCCTTTCCCCACAGCTCGGCCGAATAGTCATTTTTTTGATCAGAAAGAAGCTCAGCTCAAGGTCTTTACAGCTGAATAGTCACTACTATCTCTGTCCAGGCAGGACACAGGTGTCTGCTATCTGCATAGCGTCCGCATAGCCAGCCCAGCAAGATTGGGCAGGCACAGAGACCTATTGTTCCTTAGATAGGGCCAAGGCCGAGACTTGAGTTCTGAGAGAAACCTCAATAGCCCTCATTCTGTGAGCCCCGGCCTCATTGTCCAATCAGGGTCCTGTAACTAGGCTTCTTGCTTCTGTACTCCGCTTTTTGCTATAAAAGGACCCCTGAGTCCCCAGCTCGGGGCGCTCAGCCCCCCAAGACTGAGACGCCCGGGTACCCGTGTGCAAATAAAGCCTCTTGCTGTTGCATCCAAGCTCGTGGTCTCGCTGCTCCTTGGGTTCGGGTCTCCCTCCCGTGAAAGTCCCCCGCTTGGGGTCTTTCACTCTCCTCTTGTATATTTCCCCATGTATGTGGGCTGTAGCAAAGGCATACCGGCTATCAGTGTAAACATTGAGTTTCTTACCTGCTGCCATCTGGAGTGCTTGGGTTAGGGCAATCAATTCCGCACGTTGAGCGGAGGTGCCAGCTGGAAGTGCGCTGGCCCAGATTACCTGGGTGGCGTCCGCTACTGTTGCCCCTGCCCGCCGCTCTCCATTCAGTAGATAGCTACTGCCGTCCGTGTACCAAGTGAAGTCTGTATCCTTAAGCGGCTGATCGGTCAGATCAGGCCGAGTTCCGTGCGTTTCCGCAAGGATCTGTTGGCAGTCGTGAGATGTGGGCCCTACTGGCAAGGGCAGCAGGGTCGCCGGGTTAAGGGTGACAGCTGGCCCAAACTGGATCCTGTCAGCATCCAGGAGCAGGGACTGGTAGTGGGTTAGGCATGGAGGCCACCCTGCTGCAACTGGGTCCAGCTTTTTTGATAAGTATGTAATAGGGCGCCTCCAGGGTCCGAGTCTTTGTGTCAAAACTCCTTTAGCAAAGCCCTGCCTCTCATCCGCATAGAGTTTAAAGGGCTTAGTTAGGTCAGGCAGGCCCAGGGCCGGGGAGGAAAGTAAAGCTTGTTTAATGTCATCAAAGGCCTGTTGGTGTTCTTCCGCCCAAACGAAGGGGGTGTCTGATTTAGTTAGCTTGTAAAGGGGTGTTGCCATTTCAGTGAACCCCGGATTCCATAGCCGGCAAAACCCGGCTGTCCCCAGAAACTCCCGCAACTGGCGGGAGCTTTGGGGGGTTGGGATGCGGGATATGGTCTCCTTGCGTGCGGTGGTTAGTCATCTCTGACCGTTTTGAAGTTTATACCCCAAATAAGTAACTTTTTCCCGACAGATCTGGGCTTTCTTTGCGGAAGCCCGGTATCCCAACTGCCCCAGGGTCAATAGGAGGGCCTCGGTACCTGTATGACAGTTCTCCTCGTTGGTGGCAGCCAACAGAATATCATCCACATATTGAAGCAGGATCAATGATGGATGTCTGATGCGAAAATCTGCCAAGTCGTGGTGGAGGGCCTCATCGAAGAGGGTGGGGCTATTTTTGAACCCTTGTGGCAATCGGGTCCGGGTCAATTGCCCTGATACTCCTAATGTAGGGTCTTTCCATTCAAATGCAAACAAGGGCTGACTTTGCACTGAGCCTTAAACAAAAAAATGTGTCCTTTAGGTCAAGGACAGTATACCATTGATGTGTCGGTGGCAAAGTGCTCAGCAGGTTGTAAGGATTAGGCACTGTGGGGTGGATGTCTTCCACCCTTTTATTGACCTCTCTGAGGTCTTGGACTGGGCGGTAATCCCCTGTTCCTGGTTTCTTGACAGGAAGGAGGGGAGTGTTTCAAGGGGAACGGCAGGGGGTTAATATCCCCTGGTCCAAGAGTCTTTTTATGTGTGGCTTTATCCCTTTATAGGCCTCCTTGGTCATGGGATACTGCTTTATGGAGACTGGGGTTGCTGTTGTTTTTAAGTTTATAACAAGGGGCGGTTGCCACCTTGCTAGCCCCATCCCCCCAGTCTCTGCCCAGGCCAAGGGATACCTTTTGATCCAGTACTCCAGATTTTTAGTTGGTTTGAGTGGTGGATCGAAAAGTCGGTACTCGTCCTCCAATTGTAGGGTGAGGACCTGGAGGGGGGTCCCGTTAGGGCCTGATATGGTGGCCCTTGATCCTTCGAAATGTATTTGGGCTCTTAGCTTGGTCAATAAGTCTCTCCCCAGGAGCGGATAGGGGCAATCAGGAACATGTAGAAAGGAGTGGGAGACTTTACCTGAGGCCAGGTGAACTTTCCTTTCCGTGGTCCAGTGATACTGCTTTTCTCCGGTAGCCCCTTGTACCCAGGCAGTTCGGCTGCTCAGGGGTCCTTGGGTACTAGTGAGCACTGAGTGTTGAGCTCCAGTGTCCACTAGAAAGGTGATGCGTTGCTCCCCAACTTGTAAAGTTATCCGGGGCTCAGGGGGGGCGCAGCTGGCCCTGACTTCCTCAGTCTTCACCGAGGGCTAGTAACTGGGCTTGTTGGTCAGGCCTTCTTTTTGGCCCCCTTGGTCGATTTGGGCAGTCTCTGATCCAATGACCCTTTTCTTTGCAGTAGGCACATTGGTCTCGATCCACCCGGGGCCTCCTTATATCTCCCTTCCTTTCCTGTCTCCCTGTGCCTGTGTTATTCTGTACTACGGTGGCCAAGAGTTTACTAAGTTCCCTATGGCGTTTTTGATCTTTTTTTTTTTTTATTTTTTTTTTAGTCTTTCCTCTCTTTCCTCCTGTAATTTTTTAAGTCTTTTTTTCTTTTTTTTAGGAGTTTCTCTTTTGTTGAAAACCTTCTCTGTCTCTTTTAATAAATTAGGCAAGGTATAATCTTGCAGATTGTCTAGTCTCTGCAACTTATTGCGGATATCTGGTGCCGATTGCCATATGAAGGTCATCAGTACATTGCCCCTTTGTGCATCACTTTTAGGGTCGAAGGGGGGTGTACATCCGGTAGG